TGGGGCATCGGTGAATGTTTTGAACAAGACAGATTATCTCGCAGTAAAGAACAAGCTGAGTTAACATGCACGGCAGATCAAACTGTGCTCTTAAAGTCTAATCGTATCGTCATACCTGCACAACTTCAGCAGAGAACAGTAGACATTGCACATGAGGGACATCTTGGTATTGTGAAAACTAAGGCTCTTATGAGAGAAAAGGTTTGGTTCCCTCTCATGGACAAACTGATAGAACGAAAAGTCACATCGTGTCTATCTTGCCAAGTTGCCACGCCAGTATCCAACCGTGAACCATTGAAACCAACCATGCTACCTGAAAAGGTGTTTGAACTTACCAGTGTTGATTTCGCATACATCGAGGGGGAAACAGTGATGCCGTTCATATACGATTATTCACGTTTCCCATTTGTGGTACCTGTGCGATCAACTGCAGCAGCAGCTGTAGTTCCAAAGTTAGACGAAATCTTCGCAACATTTGGAACACCAGAGACCGTGAAATCTGATAACGGACCCCCTTTCAACGGAGAGGAGTTTGCCAAGTTCGCAGAAACTATGGGTTCTAGGCATCGCAAAGTGACCCCTTTGTGGCCTAGAGCCAACGGTGAAGAAGAACTTTCGTCAGAATGCTGAAAAAGCATGTGAAAATCGCGAAAGTTGAAGGAGTCAACTGGAGAAAGGCCCTACAAGGCTTTCTTAGAACTTACAGATGTACTCCTCACTCTACAACAAACGTTGCACCTGCTACATTGTTCCTGAAGCGTGTGATCAAAACCAAACTACCCCAGATTGTAGAACATGATCCCATCAGTGACACGGTACGCGTACGGGACACTCAACAGAAGCTGAAAATGAAATTCCATGCTGATTCAGCCAGATATGTGAAACCTACTGACCTACAGGTAGGTGACTCAGTGTTAGTGAAAACCCCATACAATCTTGTCAAAGGTGGCTTACCATATCAAACCACACCACTAAACATTACTCAGAAGAAGGGTAGTATGATATCTGCATCAGATGGGCAGCATTCTGTGACCAGAGACTCTTCATTCTTTAAGAAAATCCCGAGTGATATGGAAGTAGGCATGGAGAGAGACTGTGAGATCACAAGGGACGAGGAGTTGGGTGTATGATCGGTTTGGTGTTGATCGGGCTGTTCTGCAGTCCCATTTAATGCCTAATCAGTTACCACGAGCTGATAACATTCCGCGGCACATAGACACCCCATTGAAGTTGACTGTGAACCCTCAGACGTCATCTTTTGATACAGATAGGTCATCACCTCCTATTCCCCTAAGGCGATCAACCCGGATGAGGAAGGTTCAGAGAGACTTGATCTTTAGAGTTTGACTGTAGTGGATGAGAATGTTGTGAAAGCAGACAGCTTACAGCAATTTGTGAAATATAATTTCCAGTTTATGATTGTAGTGGATGAGTTAACCTTCAGTGTTAATCTGTATGAGCATCAGGCTCTAAGACAGTAATTTGTGTTTGAGCAAATAGTCCAAAGGTACCACAATGGCAAATCCGCCAATCAGCGCTGGGATAGGTCAGGAATGAGTACCTTTTTGAGTGTCTGCATGCGCTAGAATTTTGTATTTCTCATTAGAAAAGAGTATAACTGTTTGCAAATGTTAATTTCAGAAACTAGAATCTATTCTGAATCCGACAAATGTAAACGGCTCGTCCGAGGTTGCTGGGACGGCCCAGGAATTTTCAAAGAAAGCCTACTTTTTGCGCAGATTTACATTGTAAATTGGCCATTTCTAGTGTGTGCTGGCAAAAGTTTGTTTACCAAAAAAATGATGGAATAATTTTTTTGTTAATAACATATATGGTGGCACTTGCGACTTGGATTCAGAGAATGGCATTATTATTTGTAAAAAAAACTTTTGCTGATTTATGTGAATTTTTTCGTAAGTATAGCCGTCTATGGGAATTTATATCCAAGCGTAATACCTTAAGCTCGGGTTGTAAATAAAACTGATTATTGTCCGTATTTTCCGTTAGATTTGCGTATCGATCGAAAAACGAAGAAAGAAGCCTGAATTTTTTTTGCTGCAAAATTTTGGACATTTTAACCTTGTTACCTGATTAATAGCATGTGTTCTTCTGCTGTTTGGTTTAATAAGTACAACAAAAAAATTCGCGATAACATTTTGGTTTCAGATAACGACGACGAGACATGTTTTATTTGGCAAGGTACATTAACACGTGACAATTATGGCTACGTTAAACTTAAGCTTCCTAACAGACAGTACTGGACGACGATGCATGCTCACAGACTAGCTTACATGCTAAGTACTAACAGCACGAGTCTTCCTCGAAATTTGCACGTTTCGCATCTTTGCCATAACAAGTTGTGCTTAAACTGTTCGCATTTGTCATTGGAGCCACCCGCAACTAACAATTCGAGGAAATGCTGCCTCCACGCAGAGCCACGAAAATGCATTGGCCACTATCCCTATCCTTCTTGCATTCTCCCTATCTATCCAACTAACAATTAGTAGTAACCAACTAACCAATTTAACTAAATTGAAATAGCAAAAAAATAGACGTAATGAGAGATAGAGTCTGTCTATCACGCTAGGTAAAATCTACTGACAGTAAGCATGGTCAAGCTTTGGACGCGGGTCTAACAAGCCTTTCGAATATGTCGCCTCGCCCTTTACCTCGGCTTTTCTTGCGTGAAGCGAATATTTTACCTTTCTTGAGTAACACCGCCTTTCTCTCTGTAGCTGTCGTTGCTGGTTCTTAATGGCGTTGCGCCTCTGCTCTTCCTGTTGCAGGTACTTGACGGACCGGCTTCCGGAAACGAGTGCGGCCCCTACGAACTGGCACTTCTCCGCCATTGCCGTGGCGACGCCTCTATTCAGATGAATAATTTGCCCGTGAATGCGCCCGTAGACGTTTCGCGGCCAGGTTTTGCATTTGGGATTAGACGTCTGATACGATTTGTTGATGGCTTCCGATTTCTTCAGGACACGGATTCATTCATAGATGGTAACTCGCATGCACGGCGAACTTTTTTTTTTTACTGGGACCTCACAAAGTGTTTAGGTTAGCATATATGCAAACGAAAGATTTTTAGCAGAAAATATCATCTGCTTTAAGGTACCACGAAGGCAAATCCGCCAATCAGCGCTATGGAGGATTGGCGGATCATCACCTATGGGAACCTATGTGAATTGGCCATCACCTATGGGAATTCATTTCCCAGGGTGGTACCAATATCAATGGTTATCCAGTGAGTGACTATAAGGAAGCTGATTCAGTTAAAATCCACCAGGAAGGGGATGTAATGTATTGTTTTATTATATCAATATTGCCCATACTAGATGGCGGCAATTGTTTACCCCTGGGAAGGACCAGAGTAATTATGCGACCGCATTGTGCGTTTTGTTTCTTATGCTTGGTTTTATTTCACAATAAATCTATGTGAATACATCACAACAGTGTGATCTGCTAGCGCAGACTTTTTGATGCTCGTCGCTGCAACCTGCAACTGCAAGTGATTGGTCGCACGCCTCACCGTGTGTGCGCATGCAAGCGACTTAACAGCAGTCGCTTCTTTCCATTGTCTTTCTGAAGCGATTGGGAGCGACAGATCAAACAACAGTATTATGGAATACCTCACAGTGACGTTGTACAGTTTGTTCAATCCTGCTTGACATGCCAGGTGAAAGGGGCTCAACGAAATACTGCGGAGCCGGTAGTTATTGTGAGCCAAGGTGTGTTTAGCAGATGTCAGGTATGTCTTCCCTTGCACGGCACGGTTAAAAGACATGAGCATTTTACTGTACGGGTAGTAGGGAAGGGCGGTAAACTGCGCAGCATTAATTGCGCACAATTTTTCATGAATTTTTCGTAGTGTTTTATTGGATTAACCATTCAGCGTGGTTGTTGTGGTATGACGTTGCATAACATACATTATTTTCGGGCCTTAACTTAACCATCAAACATTATATTTGTATAAAAATAACTACATTTAGTGTAACAATTAACGATTGATGTCGGATACTGTGATAAACAACATTTAGAGTAATTTTAAAGTTGAAACTATATTCGAATCTTAACTGGTGTGATTGTGATGCAGTTTCTTAACACCTGATTGTTTCATTTTTCGTTTTACAGCTAGATCTAATCTACATGCAAAAGGAAGAGGTAGATGGGTACAGATGGATCGGCCACATGGTCGACCGTTTTTCGAACTTTAATTTAATATTCCCGCTGGGGAAAAAACTGTTCAAGAAGTCAACACTGCCATTGAAAGTCTTTGCAATCATCGGAACCCCACCATCCTCCAACCAGACAACGGCAGCGAATTCAGCGGCCTTCAAAAGATATTAGATAATTGGCCAGGCTCCTGCAACCTTATACATGGAAGACCCAGACACCCCCAGTCGCAAGGTGCAGTGGAGCGCTCCAACAGACTGCTCGAAGATAAAGTTTCGTCTATGAAACTAGACTATACTGGTCCTTCACCTGCACTCTGGTACAAGTGGCTACCAGTGATTCAATGTAGGCTATATTGATATATTTATTCTTTCTTAATAACAAAGATTTAGGTTTAATATTCTAATTTTAAGCCGTTTTACCCAAATGTTTTGGTTAACATTTACCTCTCATACTTTCGAATCATTTGGGTCGAATCACCCAAAACTGGGGTTTTTGTATACCTAACTCTTTTAATCGATTCACATTATTATATTGTGTATTACAGATCAGATGAACACAGTTAATTCTAGGGTAATTGGAATGACTCCATATGAATGTGATTTCGGAAGAAAACCAGCAATGCCTGTTGTGCCACAAAGAAGAGGCCGTGTTGTAGAAGAGCACGATATTACAGAAGAGTTGACCAACACCTTTGAGCAGAGTCATGTCGTGTTAGGTAAGTGAAAACACCAGTACCATCACTCGAGTAGGTTCAACTGTTTGCTTAATTTTTTAAATTAAATTTACTGAAATTATTTACGTAATTGACAGGATATGAGCACTTTGAGAGTGAAGAAAGAGTTTCTGAAGAAAACAACATGGACAGCTGCGGTGATCACAATAATGAGCCAACAATCTCCAAAATAGCCCACGATTACGACAACCTGGAACGAGGTGCAGTCTGCAACGAAGTTTGTGATGCAAACAAAGACACCCAAGAAACAAATAAAAAAGGTAACAAACCTTTTGGTGTATGTACTATATTTTGCAAAACACAGACATTATAACAGTTTATATGGTGAAACAATAACCGAATGATTCATAGTTTATTAGAGATGATCCTAAGTACTTTACGCCTAGTCTAAATATGCAACACATACTGGTATACGTAATATCACTTTTACACTGGCTTAACTCTACTATCATCTAACCCACGTAAAATACGGCTAACCTTCTTATTAAAGGCGGCCAACATAATGCTGAAAGCGTGGAATTGAATGACTCGGACAACCAAGCTCGTTGTCCGTTTGTTCGAGTTTGGAGTCCTGAGGAGCTGGCGTCTAATCCTCGTCATACCGAGAGCAGAGTTGTAGCAAACACTGCATACTTAAAAAATGCAATGAAAAGAAGGGGACAAAGCAAGAAGAGGCAAAACACAGAAAACTTGTCAGTTGGAGATTTCGTTACAGTGAAGATTCCAAAACAAGACCGGCACAAGTTTCAGAGCAAACGCCTTCCTGCCGTTATTGTTAAACAGCATGGAAAGAAGCGACTGTCGTTTACACTTGGGTAATTATTATCCTGATTAAGACGGTATGTAAAACCAAAGAGAAAATATTCCAACTCTTTTATTTACAAAACTATTAATGTTAGAACAACCATTAAACTTGTACTGGCAAGCAGTAAAATTTGTGTGCAGCCCTCGTATCTGTATGCCTTTATTTGCACTATAAGAATGTGATTTTAATACCAGATTATTAAACCATTTTTGTTTAATTTAAAGGTCCAAGTACGGTGTTCTAGAGGGCAGATATTCTGGGGACATGATTCAGAAATTTGGTAGAGTACTGCCACTTAGTGTTCAAGGATTTGAACAAGATCAGACCTTGCCACTGAGATCTGCTGTCAAAAAGTTTACAGCCTCTGCAGGTTGTCCGACAAAGAAAAGGGTTCATCGCAAGCAAAACACAACATGCATGGTGTATGTATATATCAGTTCATATTACATTTTATCAAGCCAATACCTGTACTATATAAATTATTAACAAAGACTCGTACCACGCACATTTTTTCACATTTTGTTACAGTTTCAATGCTTTAAAGAAACCAAGTAATTAATAGCATAGAGCTGCTTAAACTATTGTATTATGTATACTGAGAACTTGAGTTTAAGCTATTTCTGCTAATATAATGGCTAACAAATGACACCGTTTATTTGACAGTACAGAACAGTACAGGCCAAGCACAGTACCAAGTGCACCATCGACTGATGACGGCATACCAGCGGCTTTCAGACCGTTCGTGCAGTCACTATTGCAATCGGTACAAAATGTTTGATTGTTTTTATATCACTGGTATTTCTGATCTGTTTTGTAGAAACATGTACTTATCTGGGTATATCTGTGGCAATTGCAAAATACAGCATATCATTTATTTTATAGTACTTATTTCTTTAGGACACAGGATCCGCAGTTTTCTTTGTTTTGTTTTAGCAACATCTCTTCTGGTACAACCCCACCCAAGAAAAATTCCAATTCTATGTTTGCCAATTTTTAGTTCAGTCCATGACGGCATCTTGTGTAATTATTATTCAGGATTGCTATGAAACGCATCCATTTCGCATCAATGTTCGCAAATATTTGATTATGCAGTACAATTTCTATTGTTTTTTGAATTAATATTTATTGCATGTCAATGTTTCAGATATATTTCCTACATCCCAGTTGAACTGCGCAAATCACACAAGGCATATAAAACAACAGCTGCAGACAATAACTGCTTGTATGCTAGCGTTTCGATACTAAGACTGGCAGGCATCATCACCGGTGTCATCAAGCTACAGGAACTCGTAGCCAATGTAAATTTAGCAAATGACCTTTTCTTATTTTACACGACGTGTTTAGAAAGACATGTTTTTTACAAGTATTTCAATGTCATTTTTTGCTATTTAATTGTAAAACATGATTTTAGTCTTTAATTACGTTTTTTGTACCAGGTTCTTAAACCGCACACAACACTGGAAGACATTAGAATCTGGACAAATTAAGTCACGACAGCTAGACGGCGTGATTACAGCGTTGGACTTCCAAACTTCCAAGTTTGGAAGACATTGTGACACAGATACACATGGAAGAACTGTACAAGACAGCTCGCAAGGCTGATTCAGGTATTCTTTCTATTTTTTTAATCTACATGATCCACAATACTATTTGAAAGAAACAAACTAAATATGTTTAGTAAATAATTAGTTGACTCAAGTAATATCTTAAACTTTGCAGGTCACATCCAACTCACAATGCTCAGTAAATACCTGCACAGGACCATTGAGGTTTATGCAGGAGCACACAAAACGGTTGTGCAGTACCACAATGCACAACAGTACAAAGGAGTGATGCTGCTGCTGGCACCAGCTCAGATGGCTTGCTGAGGTGAGTATGTAGCTTATAATTCAGTACTGCTTAAAAACACTTGAAACAGTTAAAATTAATTTCCGCGTGCGTGCTTGCTACAACAAAAAATTATTGATCTATTTTTGATATAATGAAAAAGATGAATTATATTTATTTACAGGCTAACCCACTTCGTGCCAATGATTCCAAGAAGTGCGCAAGAACTTGAAAACATCAATAACAACTGTGGGGCCGAGGAAATGGATCTTTGCCAGCAAGATGAAATCACAGGCTGGATAGAATGTTGTGGGGATTTCAGGGGGGGGGGAGTAAAGAGTTGTGGAGATGTCAGGGGGGGATGACGTCATACAACCAGAGACCGGCCAACGCAACAGAGGTAGGAAGGTTTTCCCCAGCGACAAAAACAAGAGAAGGGGAAGGGGGGTCCCAGGGCT